ATATATAAGTCGATAGTGCAGGCAACCTTTTCAAAGCAAATGGCATTTTGATAAAAGAAGTCTATAATAAAATTCTGAATGCAAGCATCAAGCACTTTGCAGAAAAAAACACCCCAACTACCTTGGACCTCTCAACAAGAAAAATAGAGCCAAAAAAAAAAAAAAAAAAGCAACCCAGAGGAAGTTTTAATTCCATCCAGAATCTGTGAGTGAACAAAAGATCAGACTAAATGAAAGAAAGGCATCCAACTTCAAAGCCCTGGAGGTTATTTTAAAATAACAGTTGTTCAAAATCTCAGTGGAAATGTGTACAAGGCTAGTTTGTAATTAAATGCACATTTTGAGTGCCCTGATAGAAAATTAAGACCTTGCCATTGATTTTACAGAACCTGTATAAATTTTCTGGGACAATCTTTCAATAAATTTAATAGAAAATAAACTACTTGTAGTTACTATATGAGTAATATTCCTTGAACATTATTTGAGTGTTTTTAAGAAGAACAAACTTACCAATCAAGTACAAATTCACTATGATAAATATTGTGCTTTTGATATACCGGGTACCTTTTTATCTGGTTTGAATCTATTGGCAGCTTGTAAGGCCTAGACAAACTCCTGAGTCCACATTTTGAGGTTAATTTAACACTGATGCAGAAATGACCTATTGATCACAATGACAAATCTGTAAAAGACTGTGACCCACAATGAAACTTTAAATCAACTAGAAAAGGCTATGGCTCGCACTTTTAAGGATGCACAGTGATTACAAATTGTTTAATGAGACAGAAGGAGCAAAATGTGATCTCATAAACCTGAAGAGTGAAGTACTGAGTGAGTACTGACAGCAGATTTTCCAGATGATCTGCTTCAACTCTTTTTTTAAGTCTGTTTTTGCTACTCTACCTGCTTCTGTAAGTGTGTTTATGGTGTGCTTTTATTCTCTGTGGACCTGGCTACTTCTACACTCTGCAACCAAAAAGCAGTTGTTTATTCAAAGGGGAAAAAATGTCTGGCTCTCTGGAAGAAGGGACAAGCTGGTACTTGTCTGATCATACTGGCTGTGCCTTGGACAAGATACAGAGGCTGCAGAGCCACCAATAGATGATACGGAAGAAGCAGAAGAGCCGTCATTCTCCACTTCTCCTAACACACATAGTCAATGCTGTTGACAAAAGAAGTCTGTGACTTCTGAACAAAATCATCATCTATCTATTTATCCATCTATGCATCTATCCATGCATCCATCTTTCACATGTTCTGAAGTTGGTTCACCGGGGCAGCATCTTGAGCAGGGAAACCCAGATACCTCTTTCCACAGCCACCTCTTCCTGTTCTTCTGGGTTCCCAAGGCGTTCACAGAAAAACTGAGACAGTCTCTTCAGCGTGTTCTGGGTCTTCCCAGGGGTCTCTTCCCAGTCGGACATGCCCGAAACACCTCCTTAGGGAGGCGCCCAGGGAGCCCGAACCACCTCAACTGGATCCTCTCGATGTGGAGGAGCAGCGCTTCTACTCCAAGTCTCTCCCGGTTAACTGAACTTCCTCTAAGGGAGAGTCTAGCTACTGTGCGGAGGAAACTCATTTCAACTGCCTGTATCCACAATCTCGTTCTTTGGGTCACTACCCAGAGTTTGTGGCCATAGGAGAGGGTAGGAATGTAGAATTAATTTGAGAGCTTGAGAGCTTTGCCTTACAGCTCAGCTCCCTCTTTACCACATTGGAACGGCACAGCGTCTGCAATACAGCAGATGCTGCACCAATCTGTCTGTCAGTCTCATGCTCCATTCTTTCCTCACTCATGAACAAACCCCCAAGATACTTGAACTCATCCACTTGAGACAGAACCTCACCCTCGACCAGAAGAGAGCAATCCACCTGAGGAGAGCAATCCACACTTTTCTGACCGAGGACCATGGACTCAGATTTGGAGGTGCTAATTCTCATTCCAGCAACTTCACACTTGGTTGTACACTGTTCCAGTGAGACATGAAGGTTATGGCCCATTGACACCAACAGGACCACATTACCTGCAAAGAGCAAAGACGGAATTCTGAAGCCACCAAACCAGACTCCTTCTGCCCTCTGGCTGCACAGAGCAATTCTGTCCATAAAAGTTATGAACAGAAATGGTGACAATGGGCAGCCCTGGAGGTGTTCAACTCCCACTTTGTAGGGGTCCATCTTACTGCCAGTAATGTGAACCAAACTCTCGCACCACTTGTATAGGGACAGAACAGCTTGTAGCAACAGGCCCTCAATCCCACACTCCCGAATCACCCTCCACAGTGTACCCCAAGGAACATGATTGAATGCCTTCTCCATGTCAACAAAACACATGTAAACTGGATGGGCAAACTCCCATGACCCCTCGCAGACCCTAGTGTGGGGAAAGATCTGATCCAGTGTTCCACGGTCAGGACGGAACCTGCATTGTTTTTCCTGGATCTGAGGTTAGACCAACAATCAGACTCATTTCTGAAGTACCCCTGAATAGACCTTAACAGGGAAGCTAAAGAGAGTGATGGCCCTATAATTGGAGCATGACCTTCGGTCCCCCTTTTTGAAGAAGAGTACTACCACCCCAATCTGCCAATCCAGTGGCACTGCCACTGATGTCCATGTGATGTTGCAAAGGTGTGTCATCCAAGACAGCCCTGCAACATCCAGAGCCTTAAGGAAATCAGGGCGGATCTTTTCTATCACCTGAGCCCTGTTACCGTGGAGCTTTTTAACTACCTCAGTGATCTCTGTCATGGTTATGGACAGACTAACCCCGAAGTCCCCCGACTCAGCTTCCTCCATGGAAGACGTGCAGGTGAGATTCAGAGAGTCCAAGAATGATTCCTTCCTCCTCCTGACGACATCGCTGGTTGAGATCAACAGCACCCCACCTTCACTGAACATAGTATTAGTAAAGTACTGATTTGCTCGCTGACAAGCCTCTCCCCCAGACCTGGCTCCAGGGTGGGGCCCCAGTGACCCATGTCTGTGTAAGGATGGCACTATCTGGTGGGCCTTCCTTATCTGTACTCTCTAGTATGTCTCTTAGTTACCTCTGACAAGTTCCACCCTTGTCTCGTGACCAGTTGTTTGTAATTATGCCCCGTCTTGTCTGTGTATTTAAGTCTTCTGTGAGTCCTGTTGAGTGTTGTTTCATCGGTGGGTATGATCTTGTCTTGTTCTTGTCCTTTTCTGGTCCTGTCCTGGTCCTGTCCTGTCTACTCCCTGCTCTGTGAGTTTATGCATCTACGTCAGCTTGTTGATTTATTATTATTATTCAAAGCCTTTATTTTTAC